CACAACGCTATGAAACAGGAAGTCAACCACAAGAAAAAATTTGGAAGACCACAAATACATGGGGGTTAAAGAACATCCTACTAAAGAATGAATGGGCTGACCAAGAAAGTAAAGAAGAAATAAAAAAGAAATACATGAAAGAAAGGAAAGAAAAAAGAACCATGACAGTCGAAAACCTTTGGGATGCAGCACATGCAATCATTAGAGGAAAGTATACTGCAAAATAGGTCTACTTCAGCAGGCAAGAAACATCTCAAAAATGGAACCTAATCATACACCTCAAGGAGCTAGAAAAGAACAAATGAAGCCTAAAGCCAGAAGAAGGGAAATAATAAAATTTAAGGCAGAAATAAATGATATGGAAACAAATAAACAAAAACCCAGTAGAACAAGCCAATGAAACTAGGAGTTGGCTCTTTGAAAGAATAAAAGTAATAAATTTTATTAATAAGATTAATAAAAGTCTGGTCAGACTTACCAAAAAGAAAAGGGAAAGGACCCAAATAAATATAATCATGAATGAGAATGAATGAATCAATCATTCCGCCACCACCACAGAAATACAAGCAGAATACTACGAAAGAATTCTAGGACAAAAATTGGGCAATCTGGAAGAAATGGATAAACTCCTAGGAACATATAAACGACCAAAACTGAAATAGAAAATTTGGGCAGACCAGTAACCAGCAAAGAAGTTGAATCAATAATCAAAAATCTCCCGACAGCCCCGGGGGCAATTTTTGGCAGCACGCGCCAGGGAGCCCTAAAATACGAAAGGTAAAAACCAAAGCCAACAAAGAGGAAAAAGCAATTCAGATAGACAAACCTAAAAAGCAAGCTGAACACGGCCAGAGGAAAACTCCCAGCCCCCTGACTTGGACTCGCCACGTTGGTGAGCCTGCAGACTGGTGACGCTGTCGTGGTGCGTCTGCACACACCCTGAGCCGAGGAGCCAGCAGGAGGAGCCAGAGGTCGCGTCCTGAGCGTGGGGTCCCCGGGGCAGCAGCACTGGTGTCCTGGGACGCATCAGAAGACAAAGTCTCAGGTCCCTACCCCACACCTAGTGAGTCAGACACCAGCCCGGCAGCCTGTGGTTGAACCCGCCCTCCAAGTGTCTTCTGAGCATGGTGACGACAGCTGGGAGCCACTGGCTCCTTCTGCCCCTTTCTGGGGAGATTTTCCCTGTCTTTCCTCTCTTCAAATCCCACCACTGCCGCCCCCTCTATCCGCACTAAGCAGATGCCGCCTGGCTTCCTGCTTCACTGAGAAAACTGAAGGAACCAGAAGAGAACTTGCACAGCTGCAGCCACCTCCCACTCGCCCACGGGCGTCTTTGCCGCCCGTTGACCACAGTGCGCTGCGTGAGCTGCTGCCCACGGCTGACCCGCATGCCCGCCTCTGCTGCCTCTCGTCTGTTCTACATCGCTTTTTGTTTGTTTATTTTACCTGCCCACAGGTTCACCATCAATTCACACACATGCTCTTATTTTTTTGAACTTAAAAAAAAGTTTTCGGGACGCCTCGGTGGCTCAGTTGGCTGAGCGTCTGACTCTTATTTTTGGCTCAGGTCATGGTCTCAGGGTGGTGCGACCAAGCCCCGCATCGGGTTCCGTGCGGAGTGTGGCGCCTGCTGAAGATTCACTCTCTCCTTCTGGCCCCCTCCCAAGAAAAGTTTTTTCTTGATCTTATGGCCCCATTTCCTTCCTCTCTTTGGCAACCAAACTTCTTTAGAGGATTGTCTATACTGTTGACATATTCACCAATGACCTCTCAGCTACCGAGTCTAATGGTCACTTCTTAGTCTTTTCTTAGTTATCAGAAGCATCTGGGTCAGCTACTTGCTTCCTTCTGTGCAGACAGCTGTTTTCCTCACCAGCTTCCAGGGAAACATGCTCCCCGCCGCACTGACGGCTTCTGCTCCTCCTCTGGCTGGTTCTTTCTCTTCTCCCAACTTCTTGGCGCCGGTGTGGCTCAAGGCTGTGTCTTTGGCTGCTTCTCTGTTCTTTTTACTCTCACCTCCTGGGCGAGATCATCCAGCCCCATGGCTCTCACTAACGTTGATAGGTCTCAAAGTGACGATTCCAGCCCTGATTGCTCTCTGAATTCTCCCTGTTTGTCATCTCAAAGATGGGATGGGCCCATCAAGAACCCAGGACTGGATCATCATGCCAGAGAGAGAAAAAAAACTCTGTAACTTGAAAAACAATTACATACAAATCACAAAATTAAGTATGAAGAAACACAATGGCTACAAAATTCTCAGACACAACGCTGGAAGCTAGAAGACAGTGCAGCAATGCCTTGAAGTGAGGAAGGTAATTTCTAGTCCAGAATTTCCAGAAGCAGGAAAGCGATTTCTGGTCCAGAATTCTAGAAGAATCTGTCATTTAAGTGTCAGTGCAGAACAAAGGCATCTTTCAGGCATGCGAGGCCTCAGAACATTTAGCCCAGCTGCCAAGAGGGGGTGCGGCCCTCCATCCGGCTCACCGGGGAGACTCAGGGCCCCCTGGGGCCCTTATCCCCCCCCTTTTAGGTCCCAACAGCTGATAGATACGGCATTTGATAGCTTCTCTTGTGGCCTCTGTAAAGAAATGGTTTGAAAAGCTGGCCTGACCAGTTCTTGGAACTGTTGGGAGTATTTACATGTTACGGGAGGGTTGTGTTCCTGGGCAATACTTTCAAGAGCAGGGTGAGCTCCCCATTGACACTTGACTGGCATGCCTCTGGTGGGTGGTCCTGGGAAGGCCACGGAGGGCCCCCTGGTACAGAACCGGGACAGTCTCTGGGGCCACTATAGAATAGACCAGAGAAGAGCAGAACCTAACCTCTCTGAACGTTCAGGGTTTTCATAAGCCTGCAACCGTGGCTCCAGTCCACGTGGGTGCACATGCGCAGAGCTGGCGGAAAGCTCCGGATCGCCAGGTGCCGCAGTGACATTGCGCTGTCACGAGGCACGGGATGTTGGCGCTGGACAGATCTGGGTTTTCATCCCATTACTTCAGAAGGGGAGCCCGAGTCCTCACACAACAGCGCCGCACCAGCGCCCTCGCTTCTCCCAACAGAGCACTTTCGTGAGCTAGACATTTTAATCCTCCCACCAACAGACGGAGGCTATCCTGGTTTTCTGGAAAAAATAAAACAGCCTTGAGGTTCAGGAAATGTCTCGTCCAAGTTCACACAAGCGATTGCCCTCAGAGGTAAACACAGGCCTTCAGATTCTTAACCTCTGCTGCATACGCCCCTGGATGGCAGGGATCAGCCTCCTCTTCGTGCCAGAGGGTGTCACACTGCAAGGCTGGCTTGATCACCTACCTGTGGTCCCCTGCTGCCATTTCCTGGAAAATGCACACTGTGTTCTTCACCTGGGAGGCTTATTGCTCCCCTCCCCACCCGCCACCGCGGAGGAGCAGTCTGACATCTGCTAAGGGAGTGCCTGCCCCAAGTCCAAGCTCAAGGCTACTCACTCCCAACAGGTGTTCATCAAGCAGGACTGTGACCTCACGAGGACAGGACCCATGAGGGTCAGCTCACTCTCAGCACTGAGCACAATGCCTGGCACAGGCACAATAAACCTGTGCTGAAAGAGGGACTCAAGCCTCCCATCTCCAAGTAGATGAGGAAATGGTGCGGTTGTATCTGTGAAGCAGACTGGACCTTGTTGTAGCCGAGCTGCCTGGGATCACTGGTGCTTCCAGTGATCTGACTCTAGGAGGCCAGTCTTGGCAAAATGGGGCCTTGAAGGAGGCTGCGACCTCGCTCCGATCAGGAGGGCAATGGACACAACATAGCTTTGCAGGCCATGGTGCGGTTCAATTAGCAGGCTGACAGGCATCAGGAGGTGACAGCCATTTTGAAAACTGACATCTGACTCTGCTTACAACATACGGAATAGTTGAGACCTGGCCGTGGCATCGCCTGCTGTGACAGGGGTCTTCCTAACTGGATGGGGTGCCCCCTGATTCCAGACTCCCCTCCCACACCCGTCCTCCACAGCGTGCCTGCTTCCTACTTGAGGCCCGGCTTGCTGACATGCGTGCTTTATTCTAGAACATGACTCGATTCCTTTTTGGAGATCAAAGACCACCTTGAAGGTCTGGTGAAAACCAGGAGCTGCCTCTCTGGCTATTCATACGTGTATGCCCAGGAAATTCTGCACGCAGTTTAGCGGGCTCCCAGGTACCTCAAAACCACCAGGGTCCCATCCCTACAACAAACCTGGCCTCATGCCCGACTTGAGGCCCATGGAAGGAAGGGCCCCTCCACACTGCAGCAAAGGGCCTGGGGGGAGGGGCGCTGAGGACAGCCTGTAAAAACATTTCGGGAGCCCGGACTCTAATCTTGGATCACTGCTTCTGTAACGGGCAAATGAAGCAACAGATGTTAAAAGCCGTACACGATGAGAAGGCAGGGTGAGCGTCCCCCACGCAGCCCAGGAGGCGGGTCGGGTGGAGCCGATGACGAGGACAGAGGCGGCGGCCCTGCTGCTCTGTTTCCTAGTCACTCGCTCCTGGCCAAGGCCTCCCCTACCCTCCACCCCCCTCGGGGTCAACTTCCTCCTTTCTGTCTGGGGCATGCAGGGGAAGGGGCGTGGAGTGCAAGTCAGGGTGTGAACACAGGCAACAACCGTGTGCGTGACCTCCTTTCTGGCTCTGACCTGGGCAAGGCTGTCGGCTTTCTCGCCGAGGAAACAGTCACAGTAACAGTGGCCCCTCTGGCAATGCTGTCGCCATTCAGGACTTGAGCGTGAAGGCCCGTCAGTCACTCCACGCCAGCCACATGATGCTGCCCTTACCTTCTCGGCCCGGCTTCAGGGAGCCTGGGGTACAAAGAGGACACTTGTGTAGACGCCTGCAGCAATCATCCTGGAGAATCATTCAGCACATCATGATGGGGGCACCTGCCGCAGTTTTAAGAATGAAACCTTCAAAATGGGGACCGATGCTCGTCACCGTCACCCTCAGATGCAGAGGAGAGGTGAAAAGAGACGAGGGTCCCACGAGTCACTGTCACAAAACTGTCTTTACTGACAAAATCAAAGAACCCCACACACTTTTTCTGACATCAACTATTTTTTCGTTCAAATTTTAAAACGGTACTGTGCATACACATTTTTTTTTTTTTAATTCAGACATTTTGGAGGACACAAAGAAATCAAGAAATCACTGTGAGATGTTTTGAGATCTGAATTCAGAACACAGAACTAGTAAGGGGACTCCTGCAAGCCCTCCGCTCCCTGGCGTAGATGCCATCTCTCCTGCGCCTTCGGGGACTGAGGGCTGGAACCGTCCTCACGCAGAGGTGGAGTGTCAGACACCGGGAAGTGGGCGGACAACTGTGCACACCTCGTGGGCAAGTCGGACGGTGTCAACCCTGCTGGGTTGAAAATGAAGCCCGGAAATGAGATCTCTGTTTATTCCACAAATATTTTATCTTTCCTTCGGTCTGTTCATCAGAAAGTGGCCTCATCCTCATGCTTACTTTTCAGACCTGGTGGGACACCCAGCTGAGGCACCCTTGCTGTCTCTGGTTTGGAGACACGTGGCCAGAACCAGGGCTTCCACGCGCTCCCTCTGGCAAGACAGGCACAGCCCCTGTGCGGTCCCGCTGGCTTCCTGACAGAGCTTTCAGCCGAAGCCTAGAGCGCCGCCACGGACGAGGCAGGCCAGACCTCATAGGCGACCGTGTGCATGGCTGGGGGGTGGGGGGGCAAGGGGGGGGCAGGGCTGTTCGGCTGGGCTCTGAGAGCCGGTGAGCTCTCCTACCAAACACTGCCCCCCTCAACTGGTTGAGGACAGCCTATCGTGCCTGGGAAGTTCACGAGCAGGCCGGGAAGCTGGTTAAAACAGAACCATAAGAACTTATACCCATGGAAGCCACCAACCTAGTTTGAGAGAAAACAGCATTGGGTTAGAAACAAGTGTGTGCGACAAAGGACCCACGGGGCCTCATCTAGAAACCGAAGGTCACGTTAGGTGCTGGCCCCACAGGTAAGGCTTGACGCCACCCTGAGAACCGCATGTGCGTGAAGGAGGTCTGTCTGCTCCACAGGTATTCATGCTCCTTTATGAAAGGATAGGACACGAGGGCTGATAAAGGACTGGATGGTTCCTTACAGACCCGGACCGGATGACCCGAGAAACCTGCTTTGTCTTTATGACCCATGCCTCGGCTCACAAGGTGAGAAGCATGTATAAAGCCCTAGGCTACTCATACTGTGATGACAAAACTCTTCTAAAAACTGAAATCCATGTGCTAGAATTATTGAGGGTATGGCAGCCCAAAATAATGCCCCTTTTTTTTTTATAGATAAAACATGTTGGACAAACACCGTCATTTTCTGGGTTAGAACACTATGTTCCCCGTCTGCGTAAATGCAGGCTGGCCTTTTACGCTTAACATATTTCATCAAATGTGAGATTTCACTCACCAAATTTATACTGTGATAACTTACCAAATTTTGAAATAAGTTTAATTGTGGGGACATGGGAACGGCTGAGTATGTTTCTGCTTATCACCATCTGGAATTTGTATCCACCGAACTTCTAGTAAGTTATAATGTTGATAAAACTGAGATGCAGTGTGTTTTTATAATAAACCAAAACCTAGAAGTGCCAATACTTAGTCACGGCTACTTGATTTACAACCGGGTCACAAAAAGGCTTCCCTTGAATGTCCTCTGATGTGAAGTCCACTCCCCGGGGCCCCGCTGCTTGGGGTTGCAAGGAGCCTCTGGAACTTCCCACAGGGGCCGGAGACCCCTGCTGGGAACATGGCCCCAGGGGGAGGGCAACGCATGCCCTTGGGCCTCTTAAAAGCAAGAAGGTGAACACAAAACACCAGCGGGAGCGGCTGAGACCCGGTGCAGAGGCGCACCCCCGTTCTTGGAGTGGGGTTTCCTTCACGCTTGTCTGACATGTACGCGTGGAAAACGCTGACAAAGTGTCACTAGGACGTCCCCTTAGATGTTCTTTCTGATGTGGGCGAGACACACCACCTGACTGTTCCCTGTCAGTCAGGACACAGGGCCCTCACGTTAAATGTTACACACGAGTGCGCGGTCAGCTCCGGGCTCACGGGAAGAGAAGGGCTTTCTGTTCAGCACGACTTAACGTCTGCAGACGACACACACCAAGAGACATGCAAATGCTACACAGGGCTCGACGTGAGGAATTCGTATTTGACGCCAGGGAGGGGACACTGTCATGGAATGCCGGAGGGAGGGTTTCTGTCGCTCATGCTCTATAACTCGAGGTTCTCGGCAACAAAGGGAGGGTCTGGGGGGTGAAGGTGTCGGCTTCTTCTTTTTTTTTTTTTTCCTTCTTCGGGATCCACAGTTGGCTCTGTGTCAGGCACTAGCAATCTGGATTTTGGTCTAAACAGGCGTCTTAGTCTCTTTACATCTTTGTATCCTTCTGCGAAGGGGCAAGTTCAAATGCTGGAAACCGTGAGGTCTCTGGTACCAGGATGTCGGATAGAAAGTGAATCGCCCCAGCCATGCCTGCAACGTAAAACATGGATCCTTTTAGGAAAGGGTACGAGGGAGGGTCTGAAACGAGGTGGCCCTTAATCCTTTCCTTTACTAGTGGCTGCAAGGGGCATTAGAAAAGGTGCTGAGGGTTTTACAGAGGACTTCATACAAAAGCAGAAAACGGTTTACCCCCAAAGCTCCTTAGATCAGCACCCAGAATGAGGCCAGTTTTCTTCCCTGTTTTACTTTTTCTAAAAACTGGGCCCTGCGTTTTAATCCTGTATCTTGAAACTTTACAATGATCTCACAGAACAAATCAAAAAAGGTTATGTGGGCTGCTCGTGTGCTATCTTACCATAAAACTTTCTCACAGCTTTATTCTTATTCCAAACAAAAGGTTGCGTTTCAGATCTTCAAGTTTTAAGAATGTTCAGTTTTCTTAAGTTTTTAACTTTAATTCCAGTGTAGTTAACGGTACGGTGTTGTATTAGTTTCAGGTGTACGATATAGTGATTCGACAACTTTACACATTTCTGTGTTCATCAAAGTAAAGTGTATTCATATCCCCCTCACCTACATCATGCCCACCCCACACCCCTCCCCTCTGGTCCATCTGTTTATTCTCTACAAGTTAAAGAGTCGTTTCTTGGTTTCTTTCTTCTTCCTTTTGTTTCTTAAATTCCACATTTGAAATCATATAGCATTTGCCTTTCTCAGACTTACTTCGCTTAGCACAATACCCTCTAGCCCCACCCACATCACTGCAAATGGCAAGGTTTCTTTCTTTTTGATGGCTGTGTGTGTGTGTGTGTGTGTGTGTGTGTGTGTGTCTGCACCAAACCTTGGGCTTTAAACTGACCTAGAAGAGGGTGGGTGACAGAGCCTACTAGCCGGCTCGTTTCCAGACCCCTTAGGCCCCTTTTCAATCAGAAAAAATCCCCCCTATCGGACTTTTGTTTGCTTAACTCCTTCTGATGTAAAATGTACACGCAACGAAACACAAGTCTTCGGTGGACCCCTCTGGGCTTTGACAAATGCCACGCACTTGTGTGAACTAAACTCCTATCAGGAGATGTGGACTATTTCCATCACCGCCCCTAGGAAGTGCCTGTGGGTCCCTGTGTAGCCTGTCCCTGCCGGCATCCCCGCCACGGAACTGGTCTGCCTGTTTCAGAGTCCTGTGAACAGCATCACACAGCACAGAACCTATCGTGTCTGGCTTCTTGCCTCAATGAGTCTGCAAGTCATTCATGCTTTGTGTGCGTGTCACTAGCTATTTGCCTACATTTCGGTTGTTCCCAGACTTCCCTCTAAGTTTTTGTTTGAAGGAAGGGTTCTGGAAAACCAGACTTATTAGAATCCTCAGGAGGGGTCCTAGTGAAATGACCTTTGTTCTCTTGTTTTGGTGGGGTGGGGAAGCGGATTCACCAAGATGGAGCACTCGGGCAGGAGAAAGTTCCAGAAGGGGTCACGGATGGCAGCCACCCTTTCGGCCTCCACACAGGCACGCGCTATTACTACTTCCAGCCAGAGTCCCCGCAGAGACTACCCCCCCCCCCCCCCCCCCCCCCCCCCCCCCCCGCCAGGCTCTTGTGAGGCGCAGGAGGATGAGGAGCCCGAGCACTTCCCAGCCTTTCCGGTTTCTACCCAACCACTGTGACCTGCTGGGGCTTTGAAGCTGACATCAATATACTTGAATGAGCTCATCTGGAGTCAGTATTAACTTCTGCTGTATCTGATGCAAATACGCTGCCTTTTCGTGATGTAAAATACTAAAATATTTTCTGAGATTCATTTTTTCATTATAATTTCTTTGAATATTTAAAGGATATTGCTCTGTGAAAGATAACAGCAAACGCTCTATTTTCTGCTCATATTTCTAACATGTGATTAATAAATACTCCCAATAGCAGAAATAGAACAGGGCCTGTCAACACAGACAACTGAGACATAGGAAGGATAATAAAGGAAAATAAAGAAGTACTATCACAGCTTTACACACACACACTTAACACCTTAGGTAAAACGGAGCAGTGTCCCCAAAATACAAGCTACTGAAACTTACCAAACAGGAAACTGGTAACTTGAACCGCCCTATAAACTACTGAATAAATTGGACTGAGAGTTTAAAAAACTCCCCAGACAAAAAATCTTTAGGCCATGGTTCCACTGGAGATTTCTACCAAACACTTCAGTTAGAATCAACACCAATTCTTCCACGAATTAATACACTGTCTTTTCCAGAAAACAGAAGAGAAAGGGATACCTCTCAAACCGGTTTATCAAGTCAGTATTATGCTGCTACCAAAACCAGACAAAGACAATGCAGAAAAGGAAAACTCTAAGCCAATGTCTCTCATGAATACAGATGCAAAAATCCTCAACAAAATAGTAGCAAATGCAATTCTGCAATATATAAAAAGAGCAAGTGAGGTTGAGCTTGAACCCACAACGTTAATAAGCCAAAGAAGAAAAGGCAATCACATGATCATATCAACTGGTGCGGAAAAAGCACCTGACAAAATTCAACACCAATCTATTATCTGAGTTTTAAAAAAAAATATTCAATCATTTATACTCTCTTAAGTTTACTTTGGAATTAGTATAAGATGTACCTCTTAGAGCAACAAATAATCAAAAGTTATCATCAATTTATCCTTTATCTATTTATCCTTTGCCCTTTGATTTCTGTGGCTTCAATGATAAATTATCCACTTCATAAATACACACACACACAATACAAATACAAAAGATGTAGGAATCCTCTTCGTAGGATTTCCATTTTGTTTTTCTGAACTATATTCTATATCTTGTACTTATAGCAGAATTACTGTACTTGCTGACTTCCTGTCGTTGCTCATTCTTCAGAACTCTTCTGTATGCTATTATTTTTTCCAACTACAACTATTTCTAACTGCTAAAACTTTCAAATTACTCATAGCAATTATTCCAACTTATTTATAGATCTAAAACAACTAAACATATTTAAATAACTAAACACATTTCCTGTGAGTAGATTGATATACTATATACACAATATGACAGGTGAAATGCACAGGAGTGAACTTACTATTTTTTCTTACTGAGTAGCAAACATCCCATGTTCTGTCAGCATATATTCTTCACAGAAGATTAAGAAATATTCAAAGGACATTTGCAGGTACACAAAACAGGTAAGGCAAAGAGACTCAACCTAATTTTCAGCAATAAACTACTTTGTTCAGGGTATTTAGTTTACGGCTGCGGAGATACTCTGCAAGTAAGAACACATGTGACAGAACCGGCACACAGGGACAGGAGGGCCAGACTCACTTGCCCCGGTCTGTAAACCTAGCTTTTGATGCTCACTCTTACCTTCAAAGAGAGAATAAGGTCTGTCAGGAATGCGGCACCCATGTGCTCCGTATTCTAGACACCACTCTGCAAACTAAGAAGAAACACACTTAAGAGCTGAGATTTCAGTTGGCGAAAAGGCGACAAATACGACATTGTGATAAATTCGCCAGGAACCCGAGAAAGAAGATTCCCGGGCAACAGAGAGGCGCCAACGTGGCAGAGACAGGCCAGCGTATGGCTGTGTCAGGAGAAGCAGGTTAAGGAAAGGAGAGGAGCTGGGGTTCTGGACTTTGCACATGCTTTCCCGAGGGTTCCGGAGCTGTTTACGTAAAGACTCCTTACTTTGCAAGCTCGGTAGAGATACTTTTTATCCTGCGTCAGATGGTACAGGGATAGGAAAGAATAGCCGTTCCCAGCTGTCCCGTGGCAGATCCCATAGCCCTTCCGAAGCAAACCTCGCTGCCAAATCACATCACTGCACTCCATGGCATCTTTCAAGTACTTCTCCTCCTTGAAGACCTGGGCAATGAAAAAGAGAGCAGTGTTAAAATGATGTTTTGAGGGGCACTTGGGGAACGCAGTGGGTTAAGCATCCGACTTCGGCTCAGGTCACGATCTCACGGTTCATGGGTCCGAGCCCCACGTCGGGCTCTGTGCTGACAGCTCAGAGCCTGGATCCTGCTTCGGATTCTGTGTCTCCCTCTCTCTCTGCCCCTCCCCCACTCGGTCAGTCTCTGTCTCTGTGTCTCTCAAAATGTTTAAATAAACATTAAAAAAAAAAAAAGCTGGTTTGAATGGTAAGTTAGTAAGCCAGTTTCCCTTCCTGGTCAGTAAATTGCAACACGAGGAAACCCGAATGGCTCCGGGGGTGAGGCGGGCACCAGCAGCGCCACCAGGAGCAGCGCCTCACAGTCCACCCATCTCTTCCCCTCGTCCTCCAAGTTCATGCCTCCGCAAAAGTAATTCTCAGACGTAGTTTAAAAAATTAAAAGATGCCAGAAGATAAAATGGGGCACCTGGGTGGCCAGTCAGTTAAGGGTCTGGCTCTTGATCTCAGCTCAGGTCATGATCTCTTTGTTTGTGGGTTTGAGCCCCATGTCGGGCTCTGTGCAGAAAGTGTGGTGTCTGTGTAGGACTCTGTTTCTCTCTCTGTCCCTCACCCACTCTCTGTCACTGTCCAAGCAAAAAAAAAAAAAAAGCTACCTGCAACTCTGGTAAGATTTTGACCCCAATAACCCATTCTGTGCTGCCTAGAGCAGCAACACTGCCTACAGCACTAAGGACTCTACAATGTTCTGCGGTGAGGAACATGTGACATCCCGGATCAGCCACATTATCAGTGAGACCCTGATGGCCTGGCACTATTGGGGCTGGCAAGGTCTGTCATTTTCTGTCCCAAGGACGCCCACACGCGTTCCTGGAGCGTGCGTGCCTGAGTCACACAACTTCGTGGCACTGAATCCACTGAGTGGTTTACACGGACAGAGACCATCGAGCTCAGCCAGGACAAACGCCTGGTGGGAGGAAGCTGTCTGTTTTGCCTCCTCCTATTCCCTTTTAAATTCCCTTCTCTTTCTCCTCACATTTCATTAACTTTGTTTCTATAGTCCTTCCCTCGGAACCTGCTCTCAGCAATTCCCCCGCCCTGTTTACCACCTCATTCCATTCTGCTGCAAATGCGTTCTGGACAGTTAGAGGCAAAAGGGGCCATCAGAGATGATCTTCCTGGCACAGGATTCATCTACTTGTAGCTGATTAGTAGTGACCTCAAAAAAAGGGTTGGACTATGTGAATCAGTGTCTGCAGAGGGTAGGGGAAGGGAAAAGAGAGGGTCATTTCCATCTTACTCACTATTCCTGATGAAGAGTCTATTCACCAGGGTCAGATGCAAGACTCTAACTCATAAAAGTGATCTGAGACGTGGGCTCTGGGGTCAGACTGCCTGAATCTCAGCTCTGTCACCTTTTAACTGTGTGGCCCCTGGACAAATCACTCAACTTCTTAGGTCTTAGTTTTCTCAACTATAAAAGGATACTATTTCCTCATCTCAGTGGCTGTTTATGAGTATGAATGACACCAAATCCATCAAATGAAGAAAAAAAGTCTTTACAATAAACAATGTAGGAACAATCAGATTTCCTGATGCTTAAAAAACAAAGAACCTCTCTTCTTACCTCACAGACACAATCCTAATACACCAAATATACACGTAACATACAAGAGTTAGAGATAGTTCACAGTTCTAAACGTAAAATCTGAATCCATGCAGTTTGTAGGAGAATATTCTCTATAATCTGAGGGTAAGTAAAATTTTGTAACAACTGATGAAGGAAAATCTCACTAGAATAGAGTTGGGAGGTAAGAAGGGAAGTCCCACCCTCTAGTCCATTCCAGAAAGGCTTGTCAATTCCACACCCAAACAAAAGGGGAAACAGAATCATCAATTATGGGCCCCAACAGGGGAAAAAAAATGAAATTGACGACCCCTGCAACTCAGTCAACAAGAGACTGTCATCACCCTGAACTCTTGCTTTTTCTTAATGGATTTACTTACATTCAAAACAATCCTTCCCCCCTTTCCTCCTTCTCCATGTTTCTTTCCTTTGTTGGATTTGCCTGTGGTTTTGCCATAGCCTGCACATCCCAAATGTAATTCTCTGCTCTTCATGAGGAAGCCCATTTTGTTGGTAAAACAACTGGTTTTAGGCTTTTTTAGGCTAATGATTTCTTGGACAAGATACAAAAAGAAATTACCATAAAAAAAAAAACACATGACAGGGGCGCCTGGGGGCTCACCTGGTTAAGGGGCTGACTTTGGCTCAGGTCATAATTTCAGTTTGTTGAGTTCAAGCCCTGCATCAGGCTCTGTGCTGACAGCTCAGAGCTTGGATCTCCTTGAGATCCTGTGTCTCCCTCTCTCTCTGACCCTCCCCCACTCGCACTCTCTCTCTCTCTCAAAAATAAACATTAAAAAAAAAAACACTTGACAAAACACAGACTTTATCAGAATTCAAAACTCTCTTCATCAACAGATACCATGAAGGTAATGATTAGGTCAACTACAAAGCTGTTTCCAAAACATATACCCGACAAAGACTTATAACCAGAGCATATGAAGAATTCTTTACAGCCCAATAATAAAAAGATCAAAGAAAAGAATAAAACAAGGTGGGAAACAAACGAAGAGACGGTCCACAAAGGGAGATACACACATGACCCACGAACACAGGCAAAACTGCTCATCACTAATCTTCAGGAAGACACACATTAAAACTACAGTGAAATATTCACCAGAATAAAATTAAAGTGACTTTCAATACCAACTGTTGCCAAACATGTGGAGAACTCTCTTCCACTGTTGACAGAATGTAAGATCCTAGCACGAAGCTCTGGCAGCTTCTTACAAAACTGCAGCTACTCTCCGATCAGTAATTCTCTTCCCAGGTGTCAGCCCCAAGGACCTGCAGGAAGTGTTCTCAGCATCTGATTCATTAAAGAACTAGAAACAACTGGAAAACGAGTGGATAAACTGTCTTTACAGAAGTGATGTTTAAACTTAGGAAGGTATCATGATCCTGAGGAAGAAGGAAGGAAAGTATAGTTTGAAAGAATCTCTCCAGGTGAGTCTGCTAAGCACCCCCTAGATATTCTGTATTTCAAATAATCAACTTACGAATGAGCTTCTGGAGGTTATGTGAAAACATCCTCTGATGCGCGGTCAGTGGGTGACCATCAGGGAGCATTTTCACTCTGGGGCTGTCAGGGCAGGCATGTAGGTGCGGGAGCGGGGAAGCCATGGTGGTCCCACACATCAGCACAGAATTGAAACAGGACACTGACATCACGGGTATGACTTACACGGCTTTCTTAGGCACCATATTTGTAAACACCTTTCTAAATACAATTTTCACTGACCAATGGTAGCATTTGTTTATAGTGGCCGAATCCCTTCAAGCTGCTAATACAGGAGGGTCCGTATGTGTAGTCAGAAGAAGAGAATTTATTACCATTACCTGTAATTTATTGTCAGATAACCAAGAACTGGTTGGAACTACTCAGCAAAATAGCTTCCAGGTATGGGGTCCACAAATGTAATTTGTCAGAAAATCATTTGCAATTCATAAAATTCCATATCGTTAAAACCCTGACATTTTCTCAAGGATCATCTAAAATACTATAGAATTTTAAATTAAAAAATAATACATATCCATACAAAGTAGAGTACGCTCAGCTACCCACTGCAACATGAATAGCATCTACAGGAAGGTAAAACAAATTAAGCGAGCCTTCACTCAATTTATAGGGTTTTTTTTAAGTTTATTTATTTTGAGGGGTGGGGAGGCAGGGAGGGGAAGGGGGAGAGAGAGAGAGAAAACGTGAGCAGGGGAGGGGCGGAGAGAGAGGGAAAGAGAGAGAATCTCACTGTTAGCGCTGACACCGATGCCGGGCTCGAACTCAGAAACTATGAGATCAGGACCTGAGCCAAAATCAAGAGTTGGACACATAACCAACTGAGCCACGCAGGCATTCCAATGGTTTTATCAGCAAAGGATATTAATACATTTTCAAATACTTGAAAGCCTTATATTGAAGAACCTAGGAGCTGCCATGCCAGCCTGAGAAATGGCTGAGAACTTATCACGCAAAATGTAAGCACTTCCTAATTCTGAGACCCCTTCCGTGAAGGCAGCCTCTCTGGAGTTCACAAAAGCCTGAGAGGAAATTAGCCCAGAGCTGTTTCTCTAGCCCTGCACTTCCCACCCCATCCCTGGCCACAGCACTCTCTGCCTTGGCCACACAAAAGTCTCACATGCCACTCACGGGCTCTGAAAATGTATTTCTGCCCCTAATGGTAAAACTATGTTCTATGTGCCTTGTCAAATTGCCACTGACGCCTTCTTCCCCAAAAGATTCTGATATTCCTTGCCCTCCTCATGTTTGACTGTCTTGTTTACGTAAATGGGCAAAATTAAGTTTTAGTGACTAAGTATGGGATCTTCATGTCTTTGGTTCCACACTTTCTAGAAGACAGAAATTTCTGTTTTGGAATACGCAGGGCAGGGACAGACATTCAAAGGATATTCTGGGTGAGAGGCAGCCGGGCAGCCGCGGGGCTGCTCTGTGTGTGGCACAACCAGGAGCAGAGACCCGCTACGTGTGACCAGCGCTGGTGGTGCCGGTCAGCAGGGCGAACGGGATGAAGTAATCCCCGGGATGACAGCCCCGCTGGGTGCCCTGGCTCATTACCTGCTTCCACTGGCTTAGCGGTGGGGGTGGGGGAGACCCTCAGAAGCCAAGACTGTGGGCCACCAGGAGTGCCCCCCCTCTACAGCTCATCCTCTTTAATGCGAAAGAGAACAAGGAGCTTGGCAAACAAATCTTTTTACATTTTAACAAAGTCCTGCATCTGTTTTGGACATCAAAGGGTCCTTGTCTGTCAACAGTATACTTAGATTTTATGGCTGGATATTTATTATAAACTTCTCTCTATGTCACTGAAGGTCCAATGTTTGCTCCAGAGCTCTAAAAAAGGGAGGCAGTGACTTGAAAAAAATTCTGTTTTAATTTAAAGGCTGAGGTATTAATAGTTAAGAAGATGAATCATTAAGTTCTTCTGATTTCCAAAGCGTATTTCACTGTGCTTTGCTCTGACCAAGTATCATCACTTTCTGACATTTTCTTGAAAGCTCATATCTGACTTTTATATTATTTGAATATTTTAGGTGTTACTGTTGTAGGGAGACTAAAAAATTCTGAAAAAATTTGCCTAAATTATGAGAGATAATTCCCCACAATTTTTCTAAGTAACTCATTATAGGTTAGTCACAAAGAGAAAATAAAATGGATTCAGAGACCAGAACTTTTGTCATTTTCCGGCAGACATGTGAATTATGCTTCATCAATTCCATCTACTTCCACAAAACTAAGGGACTTTGCCAAAACACGAATCAATCTTTATGATTATTGGCATATACTTTGATATATGAGCAACAATCTCCAACATCAAATATTATAAATAAAGATGTATTTAAAAAATAAAGTTACGAAAGAAGCATTGTTTACAATCCAGTTAAAAAATGGGCAGAGGGAGTTCCCGGGTGCCTCAGTCAGTTATGACTTTGTGGGTTGTTAAGACTGAACTCTGCTCTGGGCTCTGCGCTGACAGCGTGGAGCCTGCTTAGGATTCTCTCTCTCTCTCTCTCTCTCTCTCTCTCCCCCTCTCTCAAAATTAATAAACTTAAAAAAAAAAATGGGCAGAGGACTTGAATAGACATTCTTCCAAAGGAGACGTACAGATGGCAACAGACCATGAAAAGATGCTCAACATCACAAATCATCAGGTAAACAGAGGTCAAACCCACAGTGGGATATCATCTCACACCAGTGAGAATGGCTGAAATCAAAAAGACAAGAAATAACAGGTGTTGGAGAGGAGGTAGAGAGAAGCACCCTCATACACCACTGATGGGAATGTAAATTGGTTCAGCCAGTACAGAACACAGTATAGCGGTTCCTCAAAAATTTTGAAATACAGATCCCATATCTAATAATTCTACTATTGAGTATCTACCCAAAGAAAACAAAACCCACTAATTTAAAAAGGTATATCTACTCTATGTTTACTGCAGCATTATTTATAATAGCTAGGATATGGAAGCAACCTGAGTGTCCAGTGACAGACAAATGGATAAGAAAGATGTGGCATGTTTGTGTTTATATACAGAGAGAGAACATACAATAATGGAATATTACTCAGGCATAAAAAAGGCTGAGATCATGCCATCTGGGACAACATGGATAGACCAAGAAGGTATAATGCTGAGTGAAATAGGTCAGACTGAGAAAGGCAAATACCATATGATTTCACTCATGTGGAATCTAAAAAGAAAAACGAATAAAGAGGAGAATCAGACCCGCAAATACAGAGAACTGATGGCTGCCCAGGGGGAGGAGGGGGGGTGATAGGCAAAATGGGTGAAAGGGAGTAGGAGATATGGGCTTCTGGTCGGGGGTGGGGAATAAGTCACAGGAATAAACGGCACAGCCCAAGGAACGGGCAGTGACACTATAAGAGGGTCGTCTGGCGACAGCTGGCACTGCGGTAAGCCCAGCGTGACATGTAAACCTGTGGAATCGCATGCTGCACACCAGAGACCACACTGCGGGCCAACTATATTCAAATACAGATTTAAAAAATAAAAGTGTTAAGTCTTCTAAAAAACGTGCTTGAAAACATTTTTCTCTGAAAATGTCCATTATTTTTTTCCAAGAAAGGATAAAAAATTTAAGTGGTACAGAATATAGTAAGCGGTCTGTAATTTCAACTTCTGTGGAATACAATCTGAAGAAAACACATTAAAAACAACAGAAAAAAAAAGCAGCATTGTTTGCTTTCAACGTACAATTTAGTCCAGGAGAGAAATCAAATGTACTCAATATCGTGCCCCAATATATGGAGAGCACCAGAATTCATCAGGAAAGGCACCGCCTATACTCAGATAATACTCCGTACATGTAAAACTTGGAACATCACACCCATCCCTGATGAATAATTTTCTAACAATTTCAAACTCAAATTTAAAAGCCCCTGAATAAGCATCATATCCAGCAATAAAGGCTTATTATTCAAGCAAGAAAGTAAAATGATGGGAAGTCAAACAAAAAAGCCTTTGGTCACAACAGCGCCTACTGCCTTCCTGGACGTTCACACTCAGAATAAAACTCATGACGACGCTGTCACCTATAGTTTCTTTTACACGTGAATGTAACCCGTCAACATACATGCGCGCGCACACACACACACACACACACACAGCGCCAACAACAGGGGCGATAAAGGGAAGCAGGGAGACTTTATTTTGTAAAAACATTAAGTCTAAAAAGCGTTTAGTCTGCGATCTGAGGTGCTGGCCAAAATCTAACTGGGAACCTGGTGGGAAAAAAAACGAAGCTCGAAACAGTAAACACCCGTGGTGCAGACGGGCGCACTGACCTTGTAAGCCTGCATGAGCATGTGGATGACGCCCGGGGCACCGTGGCACCAGTGGACCAAGCGGTCGGTCTCATTGCTCAACGATGACGGGTAATTCCCGGATCGGAATCTTTTGTGGCGTACGTAATCAATACTGGGTTTTACCATTTCTGTCAAGGTTTCTTGGTCCACTTTTGCTGCTGGCTTTAAACAAATAAATAAAAACAGAACATTGAATTTATTTTTCCTTACGTGTTTTTTAAGCCTCTGTATCATAGCCAGTATCCTAAAGCATCAACTACCTGGAATACTGAGGAGTATCTAAAATGAAAATTAATTTGATTATCTGGTTATTTAAGACTTGGGACCTTTTTCTGTTTCAATTCTTTTTCACGTTGAAGACAGCATGAAGGCCATCTGCTGGAGAATTCCCTCTCGCTCCGGGGAAGCCTTCTGACTGACCGAGGCCCGTCCACACCACGGAGGACAAGCCGCTTTACTGGAAGCCCAGGCATTTGCTGGGGTGCTACACCGACTGCACCCTTGCCCTCCATCTTGGTCCCGTTCACTCAGGGGCGTCTCTTGTGGCTGTGTATTCTGGGCCACTTGGAGATTAATGTACACGCCTCAGAAACACCTGCCCTGCCCCCTCCACCCCCCGGGAGTCTGTCAGACGTAACACACTCCTGCTGCACAGGTGGGGCTGTGAGAGCTCACTAAAGGGTAGCTGCCCATCCGGTGTGTGCAAGCCCTTCAAGGTGAGAGCGAACCCTCCGACGTCACTACGATGCTCTTGTGCAGGTCCCTTCCCTCCACAAAATCTATGGCCTAAGGTCTGGGCCTTGCAGAAAATAATTAGGCAGGCGCCATGGATCATCCTCTCTGACTCCCCCCACCCCCCTGAAGACAAGTCTGTGGAAACTGCATGGAGTGGCCTGCTTTGTTTTCTGCCTTCTCAGTTGGGGGATACCTCACCGTCCCTCCCCCTACCTTCTAACACCACGTAAATTTTTTAAAATGTTTATTTATTTTTGAGAGAGAAGGACACACACAGTGTGAGCTCAGGAGGGGCAGAGAGAGAGGGAGACGCAGAACCTGAAGCAGGCTCCAGGCTCTGAGCTGTCAGCACAGAGTCCGACACGGGGCTCTAACTTATCAACTGCAAGATCATGACCTGAGCTGAAGTCGGGCGCTTAACCGACTGAGTCACCCAGGTGCCTCATGATAAAGTAGGTTTTTAAAAAGGAATTTGAAGTAAAATTTTTAAAAAGAAATACATGGGGTTTTAGTTAAAAAGCTCTAGCTTCTAATCCATGCTCCCTGACTTACTGCTTTGGGATTTTTGCGCATGAACTACTCTCTTACAGGTGAGTTTCTTATAAAGAAAGGCTTAACTGAAGAAAAGAACATTGGCTGTGTCCGCAGCAGGGAAGGGAAGCTCAGGCCAGAAGGCTAGAAGCAGGCTGAAGCAGTATTTGGGGTGGGGTCTCTGCCTGCCTCACGAACAGTGATGCTTAATTCAGGAGACACCAGGGCTGACTGAGAGCAGAGCATCACCACGACGGTAACAAGTTAAAGATTTAGAACACGACCGACAGCAAGTTGGGGGCATCTGAACATCAGTCTCTGCCCGGGTCTGGATGCTGGAGGCCCTTTCTGTCCCCTGAAGGTTTCTGTCTCTTCAAAGAGTTACTACTACTGCGAGCAGAAGGACATGGACAGGAGAGAAACGTGGGCGGCCAACACCTAACTAACCCAGGACGGAGGTGCGTGCAGGACGCACTCTTGGACTTCACTGCGTGGGGTTCATGAAGCAGAGCATGAGTATCCATGGTTCAGTGCAGGTCCTCATTCACTTCAGTCTGCTGCATTTACACTAACGTTTTGGGCCCCATTTCCCACCTGACTGAGTACCTGACTGCAGTCAGTGTATTCATACTCCAGAGCGCTCTTGCTTACCTGCATTAACATGTAGTAGATTCCGGCCATGCCATGCGCTGCCCCAACGTACTGCTTCCGGTGCCACTGATACAACAGGGGACAGCGCTCAGCCTTCCTCTCTTCCCGTGACAGAGTCTTGCCTGATTCAATAATGGCATCGACTACCTACGGATGTTGGAAGATCGCGTAAGTCGCCTGTTTTTGTCTGACTAACCACGTCTTCACAGAGATGATTTAACCTAAGAATCTGTAAGCTGTGAGTAGCCACCGCTGCTTATATCTTTATTTTCTAAGTTAATAAACAGAGGCAGAGGGAAATCAGAAGACAATCTCAGAGGAGAAAAAGGCATTAGGAAGTCAAACCAAGAAACAGAAGAGGTCTCTGTGTGAACAGTTTACTAGAACCTAGAAAAACCTCCCAGAAGAACTTTCCCAGACGCCTGAGTCGCCTTGTAACTGCCATGGTGTCCCCAATGACTGGCTCGACACCTTCCGGGAAAGGCTGGAGAAAGCGGCCTTCCTCATGAGAGGCTAATGATGTGCCTGCAGCATGCAGGGTTTTAGTCCATGGTTTCCTCACACCCTTTCTCCCCTCCTCCTTTGGAACAGTGCTCCATGTTTTCTCCGGGCACCTGGCCTCTGGGCTCCAGACGGACAGACACCGTCCTCTAAGTTCTGGCAGTGAGGCGTGAGCAGGGGTGAAGGACGCAACTTCTCGGTCAGGGCCTTAAAAACGAAGTTGCGTATGCCCTACTTCAGTGCTCAAGGAGCTCCGGTGGTGCAGATAAGGGCACGCCCCTCGGACGTGGTGGCACAGGACGGAAGGAATGGACCCTTAACCATGTTCGCAGGGCTGCCTAACCGGCTCAGATACCTCATGGCAGAGAAATAAATATTCTATCTTTTTGGTTCTAGTAAAAACAGGTGAATTAACACAGGCGTAAGAGGACAGATTTTTACAAAATATACCTAGGAAGGAAGAAAAGGAGCTGTTGAGTGATTTTATGACCTGCCTGAGGAAATCACTCCCACCTAGGAGCGGAGCCTGGCCACCAACGCAGCTCCATGCGGGCAGGGGGGCCGGGATGGCAGACACGCGCGCACGCGCACCGCTGAGGCAACCCTGCTGTACCTCTTTGATGGCCGACTCACACACGGTGCCCGGGCCGATCTCCGTGTTCAGGTAGAGTAAGGCGTACAGGTAACCCGCCCGTCCATAGAGCAGCTCATCGGGAAGGTCCGAATCTCTGCACACAATCGTCTTCTGGAGCTGCAGAAGTCTACCCGACAGGAAAAATTCTGTTTTCCCAGACAATGTCTGAAATACTTCTTCCTGACACTGTCAATAACCCCATCGCTTTGGGAATTGCCTTGTTACTTTAAATTTAAAGCCGAGTTTTAAAAATACAAAAAAAAAACCTCCTAAAAACCTACCCAAACAACAAAAACTTTTCCACTACACTAATTTCTCTCTCAGATATCAAATTAATAACAAAACACTCTTCTGTTCAAAATATCTACCTTAAGGGGTGCCTGGGTGGGTGGCTCAGTCAGTTAAGTGTTTGACTTTGGCTCAGGTCATGATCTCATGGTTCCTGAGTTTGAGTCCCACATCAGGCTCTGTGCTAACCCTGCAGACCATGCTTGGGATTCTCTCTCTCTCCCTCTCTCAGAACAAATAAATAAAAATTAAAAAAAAAAAAATCTACCTTTATATCTAGTCTAAACGGTGTGAGAGAGGATATTCAATTTTAAAATCCAAAATGACTTAAAATTTAGAAGAAAATAGTACTAAAATGTAGTCAGTGCCTGGCAACTAGCTTGAACCACTCTTTCAACTGACTAGCACACACGAGGCGCTCCAGCAGACCACGGGAGTGAGCCCTGATTTCTACCTCTTCAAAACAGAACATAAACCAATAGGTGCAATAAGAGTTTTACACCAATTGTTCCAAGACAATTGAGCCTTAAAAATAACTTAGTTATGAGAGTGAACCCAAGGCGTATAAGCCAATTTTCATGCAAGGAAGGCAACCAAGATTACTTAGGAAAAGATTAAAATAACAGGAAGAAACATGTTTATTGCTCCCCAGATTAAGGCAGACACACAGGCTTGGATAGAAAGAAGGCGTACGATCTTATCATTAGGCTCAAATGAATACATAACCTCTTTACTTCTTGGAAAGGCCTGTTTGCAACAGTAGATGAATTTAAAAAAATAACTTCTTTTTTGAGTATCTTTCCACAGCAACACCTTGAAGCGAGAATTTAGAGAAAATACTTGGAATTTTCAAAACTCACTTTGTGATGCATTCCTGGGACTCGCAGTCACTTTTGAGTTTATGATACACCACAGCTCCTACTGCCAGGGGTCCGGCATCTCCACACAGGAACGTGACCCGGCGGCCGCTCAGGTTCCGGAGTGTTCTCTTGACATAATCCAGGGATCGGAGCAGGTAGGTCTGGTCACAGGTGACCCGGTACAGCTGCAGGTATAAAAGGGCTATGCCTAGAATAATGCCCCGCCCCCAAAGAAAAGCATTATTACCTTTCTTTTTCACCTTCAGGATGTTATTTTATGATTACACGAAAAACTACCTAAAACCTGTTTCTGAAGGAGCAGCATCCAATAAATTATATACATCTTTTCAAAACAGGAAGATGGGGTGCCTCGGGGGCTCAGTCAGTCGTGTGTCTGACTCAGGATTTCGGCTCAGGCCATGATCTCGTGGTTTGTAGGATCGAGCCCCACACTGGGCTCTATGTTGACAGCGTGGAGCCTTCTTGGGATATTCTCTCTCTCTCTCTGCCTCTCTCTCCCTCTCCCTCTTTACCTGCCCCTCCTCTGCTCATGCTCTTTCTCACAAGTTAAATAAAAAAGAAAAAACAAGCAAACAAACAAACAAAAAAACCCTCGGGGCAAAAAAGGCTTAATCCAGGTTTAAGTCCATTATGCTACTAACTGCTCTGATAGTGATTCAATACCTCCTAGACATTTTATCTCCTTACTCATTATTGGTCTGTTCAGATACAGTCTTAGTAAGTTGTGTGTTTCTAGGAATGTATCCATTTCTCTAAGATTATCCAATTTGTCGTTTTATCATTGTTCACAGTAGTGTCTTATGATCCTTTGTATTTATGGGATCAGTTGTGATATCTACAGTTTCGATTCAGATTTATTTATCTAGGTCTTCTCTCTTTTCTCAGCTAGTCTTGATAAATGCTTGTCAATTTTGTTTATTCAAAAACCCAATGCTTAACTTCATTGATCTTTTCTATTATTTTTCTGGTTTCTATTTATTTCTGCTGCAATCTTTGTTACCTCTTTCCATCTTCTATCTCTGGGCTTTGTTCTTTTCTTGTTCCCTGAGGTGTTAAGTTGTTTATTTGAGATTTTTCTTTTCTCTTAATGTAGGTGTTTATTGTGATGAACTTCCCTCTTAACCTGCTTTTGCAACGTCCTGGAAGTTTTGCTATGTTGTATTTCCATTTTTTGTTTTGATATACTTATATTTTTAAAATTTCCCTTGTTTTCTTCTTTGATCCATTGGTTATTCGGGAGGTTTTCCTTCAGGCCCTACACAGTTGCGAATTTTCCAGATTTTACCTTTTACTGATTTCTAGTTTCTTACTGTTATGGTTGGAAAAGACAGTTTTTATAATCTCTATCTTTTTGAATTTGCTGACACTTGTTTTGAGCTTTAACATATGATCTATTCTGGAGAATGTTCTATGCACACTTGAGAAAAATGTGTATTCTGCTGTTGGATGGAATGTTCTGTAATGTTAGGTCCATTTGGTTTAAATGTATAGTTCAATTCCAATGCTTCCTACTGATGATCCTGATGATCTATCTGTTGTTAGAAGAGGGATACAAAGTCCCCTATTATTATTGTACTGTATATATATTATTCTTTCCCTCACACCTGTTAGTATTTGCTCACTATATTTAGGTCTTTTGATGTCGGGTGCATGTATATATACAATTGTTATTTCCTCTTGATGAACTGACTCCTTTACCATTATCATATATTTATCATATAACTGTCTTTGTCTGTTAAAATTCTTGAAGCCTATGTTTTCTGATGTAAGTATATCTGTCCTTCTTCTATTCTACTTCTCATCTGTATCAAATGTTATTTTTGCCATCTCTTCACTTTCGGCTTGTCTATAAAGTTGACACCAGTCTCTTGTAAGCAGCATATAGGTAGGTGTTATTTTGTATCCATTCAATCACTATATCTTTTTACTTGAGAATTTAATCCATTTATTTAAAGCACTTACTGATATGTAAGGACTTACACATGCTACCTTATTCATATTCTGGTTGTTCTTCTTCTGTATTTTCTTTCTTCCTCTGTTGCGGTCTTCCCTTGTGATCTGATGATTTTCTGTACTGGTACACTTTGATTCCTTTGTAAGATATTGCTTGCATATCTATTGTAAGATTTTACTTTGTAGTTTAGATTAAAACATCTTATAACATTCTATTTTAAGCTGATTAGTTAACTTTGACTTCATACAAAAACTCTACTGTCCCAAACATTTTGTTTCTAATGTCACAATTTACACATTTTATATTGCATATCCATTTAAAAAAATTGTAGCGATAGTTATTTTTTAGTATTTTTGACCTTTAACTTTTAAAGTAAAGTGATTAATATACAATCATATCACATTATTATAGTGTGTTTTATATTTTTACGTTTATATCATTCACTTCAGTGTAAAGAACTGATTTCAGCATTTCTTGTAAGGCAAGCCTTGTGGTAATGAACTCTCTCATCTTTTGTTTGTGAAAATCTTCCTCTCTCCTTAGTTTTGGAAGGACAGCTTTGCTGGCAGTATTTTTGCTAGGCATTTTTTCCTTTAAGGACTTTTGATATATCAACATACTCTCTCCTGGACTATAAGGGTTTTCCTGAGAAATCCACTGATAGGTTGTTGGGTATTCTTTTGATGTAAGGAGTTTTTTGTCTCTGTGCTTTCAAAATTATAAAATTATCTGTGCCTTTGATTTTAAACATTTTATCATGATGTCTCAGGGAAGTACTCATTGGGCTTCATGATGTCCATTTCTCTCCCCAGACCTGGAAAACTGTTAGCCACTATTTCTTTAAATAAACTTTCTGCCCTTTTATTTTTCAATGTTTATTTACTTTGACAGAGAGAAAGCAAGCAGGGGAGGGGTAGAGAGAGAGAGAGAGGAGAGAGAGAATCCCAAGCATGCTCTCCTCATTATCAGTGCAGAGCCTGATGTGGGGTTCAATCTCACAAACTGTGAAATCGTGACCTGTGCTAAAATCAAGAGTCAGATGCTTAACTGCCTGAGCCCCCAAGGTGCCCCCTGCACTTTTCTCCCTCTTTGAACCCCTATGATTCTTCTAATGCTTACATTGTTTCACCTGATGATATCCCACAATTCACATAGGCTTTCTCACTCTTTTTTCATTCATTTTACCTTTTTCTCCTCTGACTGGATAAGTATAAATGATCCCATATTCAAGTTCACAGATTCTTTGGTTTGCTTGCTTCATTCTGCTGCTGCTGCTTTCTACTGCATTTTTCTATTTCATTCATTGTATTCTTCAGCTCCCCAATTCCTCTTTGATTTTTATTTTATGGTTTCTATCTCTCTGTTAAACTTTTTATGTATGGTTTACCTGATTTCATTCTGTGCTTTCTGGTGGCTTGTTGAGCTTCTTCAAAACAATCTGAATTCTTTATTAAGCAAATTGGAGATCTCCATTTCTTTACGGGTGGTTACTAGAAATTATTTTATTCCTTTGCTGGTATTATGTTTCCTTGATTTTTTAGACTCCTTTAAGTCTTATATTATTGTGTTAGCACTTGAAGAACCAGTCAGCTCCTCCAATCTTTACTAACTGCTTTCAGGGGGAAAATGCCTCTGTTGGCCCTGCTGACAATTCTAAGGCTTTCTCATACCTTCTCTATGAACATGCCTACTCCAGTTCTTCCCTCTTAGGGGTGAATTATTAACATTGTATGCCTTCTCCTAATTCCACAAAGCCAGGCCAAGCTTTAGCGTCTCCTGTTTGCTTTCCTGTAGAGCTGTGCTGAATACTAAAGTTTGTATGCTTTCTTCCAATTCTACGGGGTTGAGCTGGCTTTTACTTACTCTTACTGTCCACAACAACTTGTACTTACTGCCCTCAGGGCCATACACAGTTATGGGGTGGAGTACCACGTGGGTAAAGAGAATGGAATGCTGGAGATGCCTGTGGGCCAGCTAGGGGGATTCATTGGCCAACTGTCCCTAGCAGCCTGTGGTCAGGCTTGCTAATGGAATCCGTGAAATGATTAGTAAGACCTGAGCACTGGCTGCTATGATCCTAGACTCTCCCTGCCCCTTGGTTGTGTAGATCATGTCTGTTTTCTGAAAGAGTGAGAAAGAAATGGGTGTCTCTGGCAGCATTGTGCATAGCTGGGGAAGCTGGAAGCTCATTTCACATGCTCTCACTTTCCTCTGTGGGAAAAACGGCAGGCTAAGTGTGTATCTTTTGATGCTGAGCTATGCCGCCATGGAGATGGGGTGGCATATACAAAGTGAAATTGTTCCTCTTACTCTCTTCAGTGTTTCCAATCTCAGACATTTTTGTCCTCCAGTGGTGTCCTCGAACTTCTCTACTGGACTCCGGGGACCAACAAAGGTACTCTCATCTTGTGTGTGACTGTCAAAATCTGTGTTCTTTGGGGAAAAGACGGTAGAAAACTCCTGTCCCACCATCTGGCTAATGTCATTCTCCGTGGTATTTCCTGTTTTTTCAAGGTTTAGTAAAATTTCCCAGGGAAATTTTTGTGGTAGGTCTTTAACAACATTCTCAAATTTTTATTTGGAAGTTGCCTATTTAGATCTAGTTCTATCTCTTCTTTGGTAAGATTTAGTAGATTATATATTCACAGAGAATTATCCATTTCATACAGATTGTGAAAAAATTTTATAGACAGCAAAAAGAAATGTGGTTTCTAAAATCTCCTCTATTTCAACTGTTTCCCCATTTCATTTATTGTGTTTCTGTGCCTTCTTTCCCTATCTGCAAACTTCTGTTTGAATCTTAAGTCTATAATTAAAAGTAATCAATGTTACTATAAGCTTATGCCTCAATATTTTGGCTAGTTCTCTACTATAGGGCTGGCAACATTTTTTTTTTTTTTTTTTTTTTTTTTTGGTAAATGACCAGATAGCAAATATATATCAGGCTTAGAGATTCTCACTCAATCTTTGTTACACACACACACACACACACACACACACACTTCTTTATCCATTCATCAGTCAATGGACACTTGAGCTCTTTCCATAATTTGGCTATTGTTGATAGTGCTACTATAAACATTGGGGTACACGTGCCACTTCTGTATTCTTTGGATAAATACCTAGTAGCGTAATTGCTGAGTGATACGGTAGTTCCATTTTTAACTTTTTGAGGAACCTCCATACTGTTTTCCAGAGTGGCTGCACCAGTTTGCATTCCCACCAAGCTGCCT